GCGTTCGACAGATTTCGACATGCGCGCGCGCGAAGCCCGTTTGGTAGCATGTTGTAAAAATCTTGAAAAAAAAACCTATGGTTTTCTTAAGATGTCGCAAGAGCTCGCGCGGAAGTTTTTGTAGCAACGCAGTGTTGCGAAACCATGTGTTTTTGTATGTTTTTCGGAAGCTCGATTGCGAAATCCTTCCGGCACCGAAGGTTTTTGAAGGATTTCGGCATGCGCGCGCGACGACGCGCGCGTGCGCACTTCGTCCCATTTTTGCAAGGGATTCGCGAAAAAGTGTTATGTTAGAACAAAAAATGTTCCCGCATAGTGTTATTTGACAGGGAACCGCAGGGGGGGGGGAACCCGGCTTGGCTGGGATGGTACGAATTCATATTTAGGATGGACATGTGGTCATAATCATATGTGATTTACAGCACGCGCGGGGGACCCGATAAGTCCGGGGGGGGGGTAGAATCTATTAGTCTTTTAAAAAGGAGAATCCACTCTGCTGAACTTGAAATCGTCATCTCCACTGCTCGCGCAAACATCCCACCCACCCACCCGCAACTTGGTTTGCAAAACCTGTTAAGACCGACTACGACGACACCGACGACAACGACTAGGACGACACCGACGACGTCTCCGACGACTTCGACGACGACAACGACGCCGACGCCGACGACGACGAAGACGACGACGACGACGCCAACGAAAGCGACGACGAGGGAGGAGGAAGGACGACGACGGCGACAACGACGACAACGACAACGACGAGGGAGGAGGGAGGACGGCGACGACGCGAACGACGACGAAGGAGGAAGGACGGCGACGTCGACGACGACAAAGACGAGGGAGGAGGGAAGACGACGACGACAACGACGACGACGACGGCGACGAAATAGGAGGGACGACGACGAAACGCCGACGACGGACGACGACGACGACGTGGGAGGAGGAGGAAGGACGACCACGGCGACAACGACGACGGAAACGACCACGACGCCAAAGAGGACGACGACGACGAACATAAGAAAAGACAGAGGATGACGTAGGCGACGACGACGGCGACGACGCGGAAGGAGGGAGGACGGCGACGACGACGACGACGACGACGACGACGCAAGAGCGCGCGCGCACGCTTTTGTTGAAAACCCGTGTTGCGAAACCTTGTGTTTGTAGTTTTTTGGACGCACGATTTTGAAATCCTTCCGAAACCGATGGGTTTTGAAGGTTTTCGGCGTACGCCCGCGACGACGCGCGCGTCTGCACTTCGTCCCATTTTTTGCAGAGGATTCTCGCGACGGCACACGCGCAAGGGCGTTCGACAGATTTCGACATGCGCGCGCGCGAAGCCCGTTTGGTAGCATGTTGTAAAAATCTTGAAAAAAACCTGTGGTTTTCTTAAGATTTCGCAAAAGCTCGCGCGGAAGCTTTTTTTAGCTAATCAATGTTGCGAAACCGTGTGTTTTGTATGTTTTCTGGAAACTCGATTGCGAAATCCTTCCGGCACTGACGGTTTTTGAAGGATTACGGCATGCGCGCGCGACGACGCGCGCGTGTGCACTTCGTCAATTTTATCGCAAGGGATTCGTTAAAAAGTGTTATGTTAGAACCAAACATGTCACCGCATAGGTTTTTTTTTTATTTACACAAAAAAAAAACAGGGAACCTCAGGGGGGGGGAAACCGGCCTAGCGGGGATGGTATGATTTCATATTTTGAATGGACGAGTGTGCAGAATAATAATAATATATATATATATGTGTATACACACATATGTATATATATATGATCATACTATCCCTGGGGGAACCGATAAGTCCGGGGGGGGAGTCTATTCGTTTTTTTAGAAAAGAGAATCGACGTGGTACAACCTGCGCGGTGCAATCTATGTTGCGCAATCCACTTCTACTGTCTTGAAGCTGTCCCAAGACATCTTCAGACAAGACCGTGACGGTAGGTACTGCGTGGCACTTGGCCACGACACCGATGCCGACGACGACAGCGACATCGACGACGACGGCGCCGCCGACAGCGACTGCGACGACACCGACGACGTCTCCAATGTTTTCGACGACGACAGCGAAGACGACGGCACCGACGACGACGACAACGACGCCGACGACGACGACGAAGACGACGACGTCGCCAACGGAGACGACGACGAGGGAGGAGAAAAAACGACGACGGCGACAACGACGACAACGACGATGGAGGAAGGAAGACGGCGACGACGCCAACGACGAAGAAGGAGGAAGGACGGCGACGCCGACGACGACAACGACGAGGGAGGAGGGAAGACGACGACGATGACAACGACGACGAAGACGACGACGACGACGGCGACGAAATAGGAGGGACGACGACGAGACGCCGACGACGGACGACGACGACGAGGGAGGAGGATAACGACGAGGGAGGAGTGAAGACCACGACGACGACGACGACGACGACGACGGCGACGAAATAGGAGGGACAACGACGAGACGCCGACGAAGACAACGAGGGAGGAAGGACAACCACGGCGACAACGACGACGGAAACGACGACGACGACGCCAAAGACGACGAGGAAAGACAGAAGACGACGACGGCGACGACGACGACGACGACGACGACGAGGGAGGAGAGAGGACGACGACGACGACGACGACGACGACGACGCAAGAGCGCGCGCGCGCACGCTTTTGTTGAAAATCCGTGTTGCGAAACCTTGTGTGTTTGTATGTTTTTTTGGACGCACGATTTCACAATTCTTCCGAAACTGAAGGTTTTTGAAGGATTTCGGCATACGCCCGCGACGACGCGCGCGTCTGCACTTCGTCCCATTTTTTGCACAGGATTCTCGCGACGGCACACGCGCAAGAGCGTTCGACAGATTTCGACATGCGCGCGCGCGAAGCCCGTTTGGTAGCATTTTGTGAAAATCTTGGAAAACCTATGGTTTTCTTAAGATTTCGCAAGAGCTCGCGCGTAAGTGTTTTTTTTTTGGAATCAGTGTTGCGAAACCATGTGCTTTTATATGTTTTTTGGAAATTCAATTTTGTAATCTCTCCGGAACCGAATGTTTTTGAAGGATTTCGGCATGCGCGCGCCACGACGCGCGCGTGTGCACTTCGTCATTTTTTTCGCAAGGGATTCGTGAAAAAGTGCTATGTTAGAACAAAAAATGTCACCGCATAGTGTTTTTTACAAGGGGACCGCAGGGGGGGGGGAACCCGGCTTGGCTGGGATGGTACGAATTCATATTTAGGATGGACATGTGGTCATAATCGTATGTAATTTACAGCACGCGCGGGGGAACCGATAAGTCCGGGGGGGGTAGAATCTATTAGTTTTTCAGAAAGGAGAATCCACCCTGCTGAACTTGAAATCGTCATCTCCACTGCTCGCGCAAACATCCCACCCACCCACCCGCAACTTGGTTTGCAAAACCTGTTAAGACCGACTACGACGACACCGACGACAACGACTAGGACGACACCGACGACGTCTCCGACGACTTCGACGACGACAACGACGCCGACGCCGACGCCGACGACGACGACGACGACGCCAACGAAGGCGACGACGAGGGAGGAGGAAGGACGACGACGGCGACAACGACGACAACGACGACGACGACAAGGGAGGAGGGAGGACGGCGACGACGCGAACGACGACGAAGGAGGAAGGACGGCGACGCCGACGACGACAACGACGAGGGAGGAGGGAAGACGACGACGACGACAACGACGACGACGACGGCGACCACATAGGAAAGACGACGACGAGACGCCGACGACGGACGACGACGACGACGTGGGAGGAGGAGGAAGGACGACCACGGCGACAACGACGACGGAAACGACCACGACGCCAAAGAGGACGACGACGACGAACACAAGAAAAGACAGAGGATGACGTGGGCGACGACGACGGCGACGACGCGGGAGGAGGGAGGACGGCGACGACGACAACGACGACGACGCAAGAGCGCGCGCGCACGCTTTTGTTGAAAATCCGTGTTGCGAAACCTTGTGCTTTTGTAGGTTTTTTGGACGCACGATTTCGAAATCCTTCGAAAACGATGGGTTTTGAAGGATTTCGGCATACGCCCGCGACGACGCGCGCGTCTGCACTTCGTCTCATTTTTTGCAAAGGATTCTCGCGACGGCACACGCGCAAGGGGGTCCGACAGATTTCGACATGCGCGCGCGCGAAGCCCGTTTGGTAGCATTTTGTGAAAATCTTGAAAAACCCATGGTAAACTTAAGATTTCGCAAAAGCTCGCGCGGAAGCTTTTTTAGCAAATCAATGTTGCGAAACCATGTGGTTTTGTCTGTTGTTTGGAAACTCGATTGCGAAATCCTTCCGGCACCGAAGGTTCTTGAAGGATTTCGGCATGCGCGCGCGACGACGCGCGCGTGTGCACTTCGTCCCATTTGTTGCGAGGAATTCGTGAAACAAATGTTATGTTAGAACAAAACATGTCACCGCATAGTGTTTTTTTTAGAAGGGAACCTCAGGGGGGGGGAACCCGGCCTGGCTGGGATGGTATGATTTCATATTTAGGATGGACGAGTGTGCAGAAAATATATGAAATCATACTATCCCAGGGGGAGCCGATAAGTCCGGGGGGGGTAGAGCCTTTTCTTGTTTTAGAAAGGAGAATTAATCTTGACCGTCTTGAAGCTGTCCTCTCCACTGCTCGTGCAAACATCCCACCCTGCCACCCGCAACTTGGTCGCAAGACCTCTTCAGACAAGACCGTGACGGTAGGTACCACATGGCACTTGGCCACGA